TGCTGCCTTCCTGACACATCCGTGCGGCCACCTCCCCCGTGTCTCAAACCCAATGTGTCCAAGAGCGAAGTCTTGATCTCCCTTTCTTCTTCTGCCACTTCACATTCCCCTCATCTCAGTAAATGGCTCTTCAATCTAAAAAACAGGGTCATTTTTACTTCATTTGTTTTCATTTTATTATTTTTTAAAAGATTTTATTTATTTATTTATCTTTAGAGGGGAAGGGAAGGAGAGAGGGAGAGAAACATCAATGTATGGTTGCCTCTTGTGTGTCCCCTGCTGGGAACTGGCCTGCAACCCAGGCATGTGCCCTGACTGGGAATCGAACCGTGGTTGCTTGGTTCTCAGGCCTGTGCTCAACCCACCGAGTCACACCAGCCAGGTATTTTTATTTTTTAACTTCTCATTTTGAAATCATCTCAGACTTACAAAGAGTTGCAAAAAGTTCCAGAGAATTTCAATATTCTCTTCCCTAATTCCACACACGTAACATACACAACCATAAGGCAATTATCAAGATGAGAAAATTAGCACCAATAACACTACCATGTAATCTACAAACTATCCAAATTTTGCCAAGTGCCCATTAATGTTTTACTCTGGTCTAGGCTGGAATCATTTTGAAATGTTTCTCCCCCTTACCATCCACACTTAACCCATCAACAAGCTCTATTGATTTCCCCAATAACTTCTTCCATCCACGCTGAGTACCTCTACAGCTGCCACTGTAGAAAATGCCACCCCGGCCTTGCCCCTGGACACCTGTAGCAACCTCCTAAACAGTCTCCCTCTAATCCAGGGGTCAGCATAGTTTTCAGTAAAGGGCCCGAGAGTAAACATTTCAGGCTTTGCGAGCCATATAATCTGCTGCAACTACTCATCTCTGCCATTGTAGAAAAGCAGCCATCGATTTCTGTAAATAAAATAAGCATGACAGTGTTCCAATAAAACTTTATTTGCAGACAGTGACATTTGATTTCCTATAACCTTCACGTATCACAAAGTATTCTTCTTCTTTTGCTTTTTTTTCAATGGTTTAAACAATGTAAAAGCCATCCTTCGCTTGCAGGCGGTCCAAGCCACGATTGGTGGATCCCCTGGTCTAACCCACTCCTTGCACAACATCCAGAACACAGTCAGGGCTCTCTTCTGCTTCAATTCCGCACTCAGAACAAAACAAAGCCCGCAGTGTCTGGGTGCTGCGCGTCCCTCTTGCCTCACCCTGGACCGCTCACTCTCTCACCACGCCCTACCCACTTTACCCTTCTTTTTCAGAAGGTCAAGTCCCCATTTCAGGGCCTTTGCACACAACAGGCGTACCTAGAATTCTCTTTTAGGTTCCCTTTTCACCTGCATAACTTCCACTTGTCTTTTGGGTTTTGGAAAAGCTTAAACTTCCTAGAGAGGTCTTCTGTGATCCACCTCCATTGAAATTATGCTCTCCCATTATTCTCTCAGAGTACTATGTCCTTTTAATTTGTTGTTTCCCTTAAAATACTTATCGAGTGGGTAATTATGCATCTGGGCCTTCATTTGATTTTAGTGGAAAACTCCGTGAAGACGGGGACCATGTCGCTTTGTTTGCATTGTGGACCGTGCACCTAGGTTGGTGTCTGGCAAGGCGGGAGTTCCCTGAAAGTCGGCTAAAGGAGTGGATTCTCACATTACAAAAATCTCTTTTACCAATTCTAGACCTCTCCCTAGAGAAAATCACTTAAATAAGTTTGGCGAATATTCTCTCTGAATAGTTTGTGTGTGGTACACTTTGCTTTTTTTGTTCAACAGTGTCTTAGAGACCTTCAGTGAAGAGCACATCTCCAGCTACCTTGTGTTCTAGGTGCTGCAGAATAATCCAAAGCATGAATGGACTTCAGGTTACTTAACCATTTCCCCCGATGGACTGTTGTTTCTGGTTTTCCCTTATTGCAGACAATACTCTACACAAACACCTGTGTGTGTGTTTATGTCCTTGCACGCATGTTTGTCTAGGGTAGACACCAAAAAAGTGGGACTGCTGGGCCATAGGCTGACACCTTTAGGGCTCGGCACAGCCGTACTCCCGCCTGGAATGCCTTTCCACTTGACTTATCGCTGCTCGTCAAGACCGATCAGTCTCTTCTGCCTCTCCTTTCCCATAGTGCTTCATGTCCACATTGAATCATTATTACACACTTAGGGCTCTGCCTTATTTATCTCTGCATTCCCAACACCCAAGCACTGGGCTGAGCATAGAGCAAAAATTCAAATGTTTTCTTGATTGGATGAATGAATGAATGAATAAATAAATAAACAAACAGCAAACAAGTGAAGGCACTGTGGTTAGGACATTCCGAATACTCAAGGTGAGTGAGTCCCTGAATGCTGTGAACCTGGGCTTTAGACCAATTTGCCACCTGGTGTCCCGAGCCAAACCACCTCTCTAGGTTTCTCTCTGTCCTGCTTTCTGACCTTGGGCATCTCATCTTGAACTCTGTTCAAGTTGGGTGTTGCACTGACAGAGCAGTGTGCGTGTGCAGGGGCTCCGACTGTAGAGCAGAGAAATCTGAGCCCTGGGGGCAGCCCTAGGAGGGGACTGCCGTTCCCAGGGCAGCTCTGTCTCCTGTTTCCCCCTTTGAAGTAGCTCAGTGTGCTCTGGGGTTTGGTTCCTTTTTCCCCTATGGTACCTTAGGGGCAATTAAGATCAGCTGCAACGTTTCTGCTTGCTGCTTCCAGATTGGACCCAAGGGAAGCCAGCTGTTTTATACCTGGCACCTACTCCTTGTGGTCTGTTTTCTGAGTCTCTCTGTGACCTGACTTCCCCAGATCCTTGGGCCTGGCTTGCAGCCTTTGTTTTTAATGGGGTTTTAATAGGTGGCTCCTGTAATTAATTTCATTCTTGTATTTTCACACTCTCCGTCCGGGTGCCTGAAGGCCCCCCAGGCACTGGGTGGGATGCTAACAGATTTTAAATAGTACTAAACGCCGCGCCTGTCATTAAGCACCGCCCCCGCTCCTCTCACTTGCAGTTGTTTTACAATAGTTAATTAGCCGGCGCACATGGCCCATTTGGGAGGTCAGTCCGGTCACCTGTCCTGTTTTATAGAGGTAGAGACAGAGATATGGAGAAAAGGGACTTGTCCAAGCCCCAACAGAGAGTGGGTGTTGAAACTCGTTTCAGAAGCACATCCTGCTGGGTACACACCTTCGTGGGAGCCAAGGCATGGACCCACTACTCAGGTACCATTTGCCAGGCGGCTGGAGGCCTCCGCCCAGAAGGTGGCGTGTCATGCATGCCTCACAGGCACCTTGGGGAGGCAGTTTCACCATCCCACGGGGACCACGGAGCGAATCCGCCCTCGGTGGCTAAAATTACCACCTGAAATTAACCCCATTCATTCTCTTCAGGCCTTTTCCATTTTATGAGCGAGCAGATTTATCTGCATGAAGAACGCGTCAGTGATTCCTCCCGTAGAAACATAATTTACTATTTTTAAAGATACCATTTTAAAATCCGCTTACACGTACTCACACTCCTTTGGGAATGTGTGTGTTGGGGGGGTGGGGGCGTGCTGTGCTGGGCGGGTAGGAAGAGTACGTGCTGCGGAGAGAACAGCTTGACCCTGGGCTTCCCAGAGCACCGGGCCATCCCCCTGGGGGCGCACTGCTCCGAGCGCCCCTGGGACTCTCCAACCCCAAGCGAATTTGCCTGGTCTGGGTCTTTGGAGCGACCCGGGCGTCCGACCCAGCGGGCCTGAGCCTGCTCTCGCTTGCCAGGTGGAGGGCATGACCTCCGGGTCACCAGCTCAGCAGCGAGCAGGAGAGGAGGGGAGGCGGAGCAGGTGGCGATTAGGTCAGCTTCGGAACATTCTCGGACCGCTCCAGTAGATATAAATAACACGGCAGTCTTCGAAAAATGCCGGGGTAGGGTAAGGGGTGAGGAAGAAGGGATTTATTTAGGGTCGGGTAGCTTCTTGGCGATCTGAAAAAATCCACCAAAGTCGGTGACTGACAAAAGGTGGAGGAGCGAAGGCGTTTAAGAATGAACAGTGGCACAAAATCTGGGAATAAGAACGCGGAGGGGGAGGAGCACATGCTTTTTTGCCCCACCCCCACCGCGTGTCTGTCCCAGGCCTCAGAATGCGCCTCCGATTGGCAGGCAGGGCTGTGCTTTGAAAGGGCACAGCTTTGGAGTCCTGGCCCTGCCCCACTACCGATTTCGCTCTAGCCGCTGAAGGTACCTGACCCTCAGTTTCTGCGTCTGTACAGTGGAAATCCTAGTGCTTACAAGGGGATGGTTGTGAGCCTCGCCGGAGCTAACGTCTAAGAAATCTGTGATCTGCAAAAAAAAAGTAAGGCAGTGTAGCCCCCCAGGCCTCCCTCCAAAGGCCGTCCGTGCGGGCCGATCCCTTCCCGCTTCCACAGGTCTCACAGACTCTGCAAAAGCAGGGGAGGGGCAACGCTGAAATCCGACTCCCTGCAGCGGCTCGGCGCCACCCAGGAGAGTCGCCCCTGGCGCTTCTCGCGCGCGAGCCGCGACCCACTGCCAGCGCCCCAGCAGCCGCCGGTCACCACGATGCCTGCAGCCCCTGCGCCCGCCGTTGGACTGTGGGGTTGGGGCCGTCGCGGCGAGGAGAGGGCGGGGCCGGGGGCTGGGCTTCCCGGGGGAGGGCAGGCGCGGCTCCGGGAGGCGGCGGCCGGGGACCCGAAACGCCAGGACTCGGGCTCGAGCGTGGCCCGACCCCCTCACCGAGGCGCGCAGGAGGTTGCGGTGAGTACTGCCAGAAGGGGACCGTGGGGAGGCGGCGGCAGGAGCGCCGGCTCGAGCCCTCCCACTCTTGCGTCTCACTCTCGAAGTTTGCAATGGGACCGACTTCTGCCCGGGAGCCCCCCACCACCCCATTCTGTGCGAGGATGGAAAGAGCTGCGGCGGGACCGAGGGGGGGGGGCCTCGTCTGCGGCGTCATGCACCCTGCATTTTCCCTGGCTGGCCGAGGGGAGGGGGTCGTCGGGCCATACCATCTCCTGGGGCTTCTTAATGGCCCCAGATCACCCTGGGGCTCTAGAAAGGGGAGCCTTCGCTCCCCGGCGACCCTCTGCCCTTTGCAAAGAGCTCCAATTCGTGGGGCTACTGCCCGAGCCACCATCTGGAGTCCACGGCCGGACCCCCCTCCCCTCAGGGGTGATCGGCCAGCCCCACCCGCGCCAAGGCCCAGTTCAACAAGTTTTGCCAAGAAGTCCTAGAACCTCCATTTCTAGGCCTGGCCAGGCAGCTCCGCATGGGCTCCGTGGGCTCCGAGTTGTGCAGCGCCCTGCGGGCAACAGGGACCGGTCAAAGGGCGCCGTCCAGAGAGTTGAGACTAGAGCCCGGCAGCCCCTGGGCTGGGAAGTTTGGTGTGGAAGCTCGGGGTTTGGAATGCGTCATCGGGGAGCAGGCACCTCGGCCGGCAGGTCAGGTTTCCAAAAGTGCCCCTTTGTTATGCCCCTCCCTGGCCTTGCCTCCTCCCCTTTCCCTGCGCCACCCCTCCCCCAACCTCCCGGGCCACCCACTCCAGGCTCTGTAGCGTAGGTGTCCCTCTTTGGACCAGTCTACTGCCCCCTCGCGTGCCTTCAAATCCTAGGGCTGCCGTCCTACCCAGAGCGGCTGGAAGAGGCCCTTGGGAGCAGCCTGTGACTCAGGACAGGGTGGATGGGCAGGATGGAATGGCAGTGCCCCCTCCCAAGGGCTTGCTCTCAGCTTCTGGGAGGGGTGGGGACTGGTCTGGGCATCGGCCACCTATCCGCCTCAGGTAGGGAGTGTGGGTTCTTCCCTCAACCCCAGGATTCCCTACCTTGGCCCAGGCAGATATGAGGAGACCCTGCCAAACCCTAGAGGACTTCTCTGGGCCCAGTAGGTGCTGAATCCCTGTGCTAGGAAGCTTTCTTTATCTGCTTTCTGAGCCCTCGCCTGCGGCCTGGGTTCCGGGGACCCATTTGGGTCTGTGCTGAGGTCAGGAGGTACCGCGTGTTGGCCTACCCCTACAGCTAGATCCAGCCTGTGCTGTGGGGCCTGGCTGTGCCTGGGGCTCCAGCTCGTGTTTGCTCTGGGAGGCCAGAGGGAGCAGCGCCAGCCCTGCACACACAGCTTGCTCTGTTCTGGGGCCAGAGAGAGGGAATGGGTGGGGGGCGGCTCTCCCGGGAGCTGGGAGCACAGAGGCTGGAGCAGGCAGGGCCCTGGGCCCCTGGGTGTCCGACTGGGGCAGCACACCGAGGGCTTGTGACTTAGAGCTGCAGCTTGCTTCTCTGGTTGGCAAGTCCTCTCTGGGCAGATGGGACAGCCTCAGGAGGAAGCAAGGTGACACACGGAGGACCTGGTGGGGGCTGCTCTTCTCTTTGTGCAGCACCTCTGTCTCAGGCCTGAGCTCGCCTGTGGGCTTTGGGGTGGAAGCCCACTTGGGCCAGCCAGCCTTTCTCACAGCCGCTGTGGCCAGTGGGTTTCCTGGTCTTCGGTGGGATGGTGCGTTTGTTTTCTTCATTCATCTGCCAACTCCAGCGCCCAGAGGAACCCAAATTGGACCCTCCGAAAGTCTGTGTCAATGACTGCAGGGAGATCCTGTCCTGTCAGTCACAACCCAGTGGGGTTTATCCCCTGACCGAGGGGTCAGAGTAGCTGCGGGAATGGGGATGGCATATGAGGCTGTGTGTGACTGTGCAGAAGATGCCTCCGTGTGAGTTTGGAAGAATGGGCGGGGGTTCACCAGTTCGGAGGGGAGCACAGTGACGAAGCCCTGCTTTGGGGGCAGCAGGCCCATTCTGTCCTCCTTGGGCCTGGCGGTGTCCTCTGGGCTTGCTCAGAAGTGGAAGCGATCTCCTAAGGGGCTTGAGTCAGTGGCCTGTAGTCTCGGGCAGCCGGGGCCCTCCCTGCTCAGAGGCAGGATGGGAGTGACCATGTGCCACTGTGTCCTCCAGCCCCTGGGGTGGTGGCTGTGGGTTTGGAACCTGCCTTGCCCTCTGGAGAATACTCATAACTGGCCAGTCACTTGTGTGACTCCCTCATGCTGCCCCGGACTCTGGGCTTTGCGAGGGCGTGGCTGAGTTGCTTGTTACCCACAGAGCCCCGTGGGACCTCGGATGCCGTGGAGTAGGGTGTGTGTCAGTCCCCTCAGGCTGCTGTTTGTTCATTGCTTGGGGTGAGAGTTACCCTGGCACAGGGGCAGACCAGGAGGCAGGATTTCCATCTTAGGAGGGAGCTGGGGCTCCATTAGGAGGGGACAGTGAAATGCACTTGCTCATGTTTCTTGGCTGTTAGTCCTTTCCAGCACAGGGAGCTACTGGAGTATGAGGGTGTGGCTGGGTACCCTCTGACTTGGCCTGGTCTGGAAAAGGGTCGCCTTGTTGCTCAAAGAAAGGCAGCAAGGCCCCAGCTTGGGAAGGCGTCCTCTTCTCTCATCCGCAGTCAGGGGAGTGGGGCCCTCTGCCCACCGCCCACCCCCGCCTGCCATCTAATCCCCAGCCGGATCGTGTGACCTGCCTGGCATTCTCCTGGCTGGAATCTGGCGCTTCTGACAGCAGTTGCTATATTGGGGGAGCTGGGCACCGCCCTGGACGTGTTAGGTCCCCGCCCTCACCCCCTGCTTTGCTCTCATTAGCTTCACAGCAGAGTCACAGTGGCATCTTTGAGCGGTGGACAGCCACGTCCCTGAAGCGATCTCTAGGCTCCAGGTACATAGGGTGAGGTGCGGGGGAAGGGCAGGCCCAGGGCGAGAGAAGGAGCTTTGAAACTGCCATCCTTGCCCCTATCCCGGCCCTTCCTGGGGGTCTCCAGAACCCTGCCTGCTAAATCCTAGCTGCAGTGGCTCCTTGAGTGGTGGGATGGCAGTGGGAGCAAAGCCCGGGGTCTTTTCCTATCCACAAGAGCATACGTCCAGCTTCTCTGCTTATCTCTGCACTCCACAGCCCCAATCCGCCACCATTCCGTGCTGCGGGGACACCATGGCTCCAGAGGAAGATGCTGGAGGGGAGGCCCTAGAGGGCAGTTTCTGGGAGGTGAGCAGCAGGGTCCCTGGTTTGGGGGTGGCACTGAAATGCCCCCGTCCCCCAGGCCCAGCCACCCATCCAAGGGAGTTGGCTAGCTGCCAGCGCGGCCCTTGAATGGGCTTCTCCCTGGCCACACTGCCCTTTCCATGTATGCCCCAGGCTGGCAACTACAAGCGGACGGTGCAGCGGGTGGAAGACGGGCATCGGCTGTGTGGGGACCTGGTCAGCTGCTTCCAGGAGCGCGCTCGCATCGAGAAGGCCTATGCCCAGCAGCTGGCCGACTGGGCCCGAAAGTGGAGGGGCGCCGTGGAGAAGGGTGAGCCAGTATTTGGGCCTAGCAGGCAGTGGAGGGCCACCAGTGTGGGGAGATCAGGTAGGGTGGCTTCTGTCTGCACCTCTCGTGGGAAGGTCTGCCCTCCCCTCAAAGGGAAAAATCCTCCTGGTAATTCTCATGGTAGTGCTGTTTGAGTTTGCAAAGCATGGTCCTGAGTTATTTTGAGGTTTCTATCAATGGTATGATGGAGACAGTTTCCTAGAGGACAGTGCGGAAGTTTAGAGACGCTAAGTGACTTGCCTGAAGGCACACAGCTAGGAAGAACTTAAGCTTGAGCCAGTCCTTCTGATTTGGGATCTTTCCACCTTAACAAGCTGCCTTCCTTGGGGACAGACACTGGTTCGACTTTGAGGCAAGAGTGTAGTGATTTATGCCACAGACCGGGGCTGGAATCTCAGTTCCCTTGTAGTTGTAATGCTTTGGACAATTAATCTCACTTCTCTGGGTCACCATCTTTTCTCTTGTTAAATGCTGATCACGACACTGTCTTTATGGTGGTGGATGAGGCAAGGATTCGGTGCGATCTGGTCAGTCTAGGCACAGAGGAGGTGTTCAGTCAGCAACAGCTGACACCGTTGTTCATCTTCGTGTCCCTGCTTCGTGCCTGGCCCCAGAACAGCACCCAGAGAGAAGGGATGGGCTTGTTTCTGGTGGCATCCCAGGCCTGGCCCAAGTCCCATCCCTCCCTGCAGGTCCCCAATATGGCACACTGGAGAAGGCCTGGCATGCCTTCTTCACCTCGGCCGAGCGGCTGAGCGCGCTGCACCTGGAGATTCGGGAGAAGCTTCACGGGCAGGACAGTGAGCGGGTGCGTGCCTGGCAGCGGGGGGCTTTCCACCGGCCAGTGCTGGGTGGCTTCCGAGAGAGCCGGGCTGCTGAGGACAGCTTCCGCAAGGCCCAGAAGCCCTGGCTAAAGAGGCTGAAGGAGGTGAGCCTGAGGGGGGTGGGGCGGATGGGCATCAGAGGCACGCCCCTTCCTTAAGTCCACGGGCCTGGCTTGGGGAGCAGGGTCCAGAGTTGTCTTTGTGTGTCCCAGGTTGAGGCTTCCAAGAAGAGCTACCACGGAGCCCGAAAAGACGAGAAGACAGCCCAGACTCGGGAGAGCCACGCGAAAGCAGACAGTGCGGTCTCCCAGGAACAGCTGCGTAAGCTACAGGAGCGGGCGGACCGCTGCACCAAGGAGGCTGAGAAGGTACCGGCCAAGGCAGCAGCTGGCCCAGTTCTGATTCCTGAACGCCTTTCCCAGCCCCCAGCACCCTTCCTGCTCTCATCCTCACCTGCCACCCTCTCTCCAGATTACCACTTAAAGGAGGAAGCTGAGAAAAGATGATGCTTTACCCAGAGAAAAAAAAAGTACAAGTCCAGGCATTAGGAAGATTTAGTGGCTGAGCCCTTCCAAGCTCTTCCTTTCCCACCTGGGACCACTTCTCATGTTGTTTGCTCTGCCAGAGTGCCCTGTCCTCCAGCCCTGCATATCCAAATCCTCCCATCCTCCGAGGTGCTGCTGTTTCCACTGCCTCCAGGAAGCCTTTTCTGATTTCTCCCACCCCCACCCGAATGAGAAGTCGTCTCTCTCTCCACTCTCCATCTCTCCTTACTCTCGCTTTTAGCCTCCCCTTGCCAGACTCCTAAAGCTGCTGTGCTCAAATGTCACCTCTCTTGTTAGGCTGCTGGGATTCTAGGGATGGCAAACAGGTCTTGTGACTGGTTGCCCCTGGTGCCTAGCCCCGGGTCCAGCCCATGGCAGGCACTCAGTAAACACTAGCGCAGTGTTGATCGGAAGGTGTCACGCTGATTGGGTCCCCTCCTCTCCCACCCAGATGAAAACCCAGTACGAGCAGACGCTAGCAGAGCTGCATCGCTACACCCCACGCTACATGGAAGACATGGAGCAGGCCTTCGAGACCTGCCAGGCCGCTGAGCGCCAGCGGCTTCTCTTCTTCAAAGATATGCTGCTCACCCTACACCAGCACCTCGACCTCTCCAGCAATGAGAGGTGTGGCCCGCGGGGTGGGCGTGGAGACCTGGAGTAACGCAGGGTCTCTCCCATCTCCCCTGCGCTCTGGCTGGGCTGAATGCGCTTGGGGGCTGTGGACGCCCAGGGCTTCCTAGTTTGAGGGTTGTGCCTCGGGCCACAGGTTCCACGAGCTCCACAGAGACCTGCATCAGGGTATCGAGGCAGCCAGTGATGAGGAGGACCTGCGCTGGTGGCGCAGCACCCATGGGCCGGGCATGGCCATGAACTGGCCACAGTTTGAGGTACATGTTCCAGGTGGCGCTGGGAGGTGGGGTGTGCTCCCACTGGGCTCACTGTGGACCTCAGGAAGGAGGCTAGGGCTGGGATAAAGTAGGCGAAGGCGGTTTGGCGGCCCACCACAGCCTGCAGCCCAGCCTGACCGTAAGCACTGTCCCCACAGGAGTGGTCCCTGGATACACAGAGGACAATCAGCCGGAAGGAAAAGGGTGGCCGGACTCCTGATGAGGTTACTCTGACCAGCATTGTGCCCACAAGAGATGGCGCTGTGCCCTCACCTCAATCCCCCGGGTCCCCAGGGTGAGAGTCAGGCGCCTGGCTGTGCAGCTCTGGCCCCTGCCCTGCCCCCCCTCCTTTCCTTCATTCTCTTTACACCCGCAGTGGGTTGAAAATGGGTACCAGGGCCCTTAGGACTTACTTAGTGGCTGTAATGCCAGTTTTCATGGTGGTTTAGATTTGCCAGGTGTTTCCCATGTTCCCTCTTATCAGGGATTCACATCGGCCATGTGGCAGGAAGAGCACCTGAGCTCACAGGCATGGGTGGCAGAGTTCAGACTGGACGCTTTTGGTTCTTCTCGTCTGCCTCTCCCAGGGTTTCTTCAGGGACCAGCCCTTGGCCGTGGGTCCTAGGCTCTATGGATCAAGGTGTTCCTTGTGTCCTGAGCCTGTCCCTCTTCCGTGTCCCCTCTCCAGCGGTGGGCAGGATGAGGAGTGGTCAGATGAGGAGAGTCCCCGGAAGGCTGCCACTGGGGTGCGGGTGCGGGCACTCTATGACTATGCTGGCCAGGAGGCTGATGAGCTGAGCTTCCGAGCAGGTACCCTGGGACCCCATTCCTGTTCCTTTCCGGGCTTCAGCCTCCCCTCCCCCTTTTGCTATCCTGAATAGGGGTGTGGTGGAAAAGGGAAGCCAGACACTTTTTTCTTGAGGGCCCAGTTCTCTGGGTCCAGTCTGCAGGTGTCAGACTGCCTGCTCTGAGCCCTTACCTACCTCTCAAAACCACCATCTGGGGCCTGACTGCTACCTTCAGGGTCTGGGGTGGGTGGCTTGCTGACTTTGACCTCCCTCTCTTCCCCTCCTGCCCACTCCTCAGTCCTTGACCTAATTGAAGGAATGGGGCTAGGCCAAGGCAATTGGCAATGACTAACCTTTCTTCCCCCAGGAGAGGAGCTGCTGAAGATGAGCGAGGAGGATGAGCAGGGCTGGTGCCAGGGCCAGCTGCAGAGCGGCCGCATCGGCCTGTATCCTGCCAATTACGTGGAGTGTGTGGGGGCCTGACTGCCCTGACGGCCCTTCTGCAAGGTTTCTCCACCCTAAGAAGAGCCCAGCTTCTCCTGGATGGCTGGACTGAGGGCTCTGAATCATTGTGCCCCTGCTGTCCCTCTGTCCCTTGAGGAGGGAGGAAGTCTTAGGGAGCCAGGGAGGGGAGGGGCTGTGTCTAGGAAGGGAAGGGCCGGAGGAGTATAAGCTGAGGGCGAGATGGGGAGGTCAGGTGACAGGAGGGTTCAGACCTCCCCAGGAGTGCTTGGTTCTCCCCAGGAGCCGTGGACCTAGTTTCTGGCCCCTGTGTTTTGGGGCTCCTGGGGTGGGCTTGGGGTGAGTGTAGTTCTGGGCTAGCAACACTCTTTTGTGGCTTGTTAGTGTGTATTAAACTTGAAAAATAAAAGCATCGTCAGGTTTGTGTGCGTCTTTTTTGATACTCCATCCTTGTCTTCAGAGGGCATTGGGAGAGGGGCACTGAGAGGAGATCCGCGGGCCTTGAGTACGTGTTATGGGGGCGGGGGTTGGGCAGAGGTTGCCAGGTGATACCTGCTCTGAGACTTCGGGACCCTGGTCTGGGGTGGAAGGGACTGGAGATCTGGCTTGGTGTGAGGCGGCCAAAGCTGGAGACTGGGTGCTCAGTTCAGAGCTGGGCCCAGCCCATCTATCTTCCCGATCATGTCGGTAGGATCCTGAGTGCTCGGTAGGACTGTTAATCGTCACCCGTCAGTCGTGAGCGGGCCTCGCAGCCCACGCCTCCTGGGAGGTGGCTCCACCTTCCGGGGGCAGCGCTCCTGCGCGACTCGGCTCGATTGGAAACTGGCGCAGCCCAGGCTGCGGATTGGCCGCGGCGTGGCGCGGCTTGGGTTCCGGCGACTATTGTGGAGGTGGGGCTGTGACGTTTCTGCGTCCGTTCCACCGGCTGCTCATTGGTCCAGCTCAGGACAAGTCGCCCCACCCCTCGGCAGGCCGGGGCGCGGCTGTGGCCGGCCTGCGTACTCGCCTTCCGGGCCGCGGATTGGCTTGAGACGGGTCGCGTCGGTCGCGCTGGTATCTGGGAAGGAGAGAAAATGGCGTCTGAGCCGAGCAAGACGGAAATCCAGACCTGTTTCAAGAGGCTTCGCGCTATTCCGACCAATAAGGTGCGTGAGCGGGAGGTACGCGGGGTTTGGCGCCAACCGGGAGAGACCCTCCGGGCTCCTGTAGGGCCGAGGGAGGGAGAAGGGCGGACGTGGGTTGTTTTCCTGGGGTGTCAGTGCCCGGCCTCCACTCGGGGCCCCTGATCATTCTCCCATTGCCTCTTCCCCGCAGGCCTGTTTCGACTGTGGCGCTAAGAATCCGAGCTGGGCAAGCATCACGTATGGTGTTTTCTTGTGCATAGACTGTTCTGGGGTGCACCGCTCCCTGGGTGTTCATCTCAGCTTTATCAGGTGGGGCTCCTCGCGGCTGCTGTTTCGACCAGGCTAGGGTTTTGTCCTGGTCAGGGCGGAGTGGCGACTTGGGTTGCTCTTAATTCAGTGTTCGGAACCTCCCAGCTAGGGGTCCGGTATCCTCCCACCGGAGAGAACCGCCTGTGTGGACGGACCCCTGGCCATGTAGACAGCTCGTCTCCGCGTCTGGGTCAAAACTCCCTTCTTTCTTAGCGGTCAGACTTGGCTCTCCCAGCATTAGTTTTGAAGAAAAGTTAGCTGCCTTGACGTTGTTCCTGACATATTTTATTGGTCGAGTATGTCTGAAGTGACCCTGTGGCCGTCCTCAAGGGGAAAGACAAATCCAAGCTTACGAGCCTGAGATTTTGATCTCCTTTCGGATCTGGAAAATAATTAGCACCCATTTGACCACGTGAATGGAGAGCAAAGCTTTCGTGGACAGGGTAGAGGGGAGGAAGTAGGGTGGTGGCTGATTAGTGTTTCCTGGGCGCCTATAGCGCCCAAGGCCAAATGACAAGTGTGGGTCTGTCGGGGAAGCGTCTCCTGGTGGGTGACACGCAGCCCTTTCACACAGGTCCACAGAGTTGGATTCCAACTGGAGCTGGTTCCAGCTGAGGTGTATGCAGGTCGGCGGGAATGCCAATGCGGTAAAGCTCCTCATATCCTCCCCACCCTCATCGGCTGCCTGAGTACCAGCTTGACCAGGACCTCCTAGGAGGCCCCCTCAGCTTCTCTGGCCTATTGCAACACTGTACACTGTTCTTTAAACTTGGGTATTGGCCAGTGTTCTTCTCAGAGGGCCCTTGGATTAAAACGAAATCGGCCAGATGTTCTTGGGGAAAGGCCAAGGGAGTTAGGGCTTCCACAGCCATCCAGGCCTTGGCCTGGGTGGGTGAAGTATGGGCAGCACGGGCGTGGGCTGCGTGCTCAGGTAGGGCCAAGTGAGGGCCAGACTTCACTCAGTCATCTCAGAGGATGGGAGACTGTGTTTTCTTCAGGAATTTCTGAGTACCTTTCCCTCTATGAAAAAGTACTGGCGTAAATAGAATATATTATCCTGTGCAAATAGTACGTGGGCTGTTACAAGGGCCGCCTTTTTTGGCTCTGGGGAGAATCACCTGTAGCATGCTGCCCTCCCTTCTTACTCTCCAGACAGCTTTCTTCCGTCAACATGGATGCACAGCCAGTGATGCCAACACCAAGTATAATAGCCGAGCCGCCCAGATGTACCGGGAAAAGATCCGGCAGCTGGGAAGTGCAGCCCTGGCTCGGCATGGCACTGATGTAAGTGCCTGGTCCCTGGGGCTGGGGTGCTGGGGTGAGTGGGAGTATGCGGAGTCCTGTTTCAAGGACGTCTTCTTCCTTGTAGCTTTGGATAGACAATACGAGTAGCACGTCCAGTCACTCCCCGGAGAAGGACTCTGATTTCTTCACAGAACACACTCAGGTGAGTGCCCACAAGGAATGTTTCCCGTGATTGTTCCTGGCAGGTGGTTAACTGGCCAAGGCCTTCTGTGATCGTGGGCACAGACTCCACTCGCCTTGGTGTGATACCGTAGACGGGGTGACTGTGGCCCATTGTTAGGTCGGCCCAGGTGTTTCCCCCTCCCACAAGTAGGCATGGGTTGTGGCGCCCCTTACGATCAGACCCCTTTAAACTGGGTTGATAGAGAGTAGGAAGAGAAGCTTCTTGGAGGCTCAGGAGGTGTCGAGAGCCTCAAACAAGTTTTCCTGGGTTCTTCTCCTATAAGGGAGGCGCTGTGTTTGGGGATGATTAAAGGAATCTTCCGCAGAAACCCACCCTGGGAGGAGGTTCCCCCTCGACTGGTGGCAGGTGTGGGGTGGCTGATGTTGGATTCCCTCAGTTTGAACCCCAGCTCCTACACTTGGCGTTTCCAGGATGTGGCTAACTCACTTAACGTGTCAAACCCTCAGTCTTCATAATAGAGCTGTATCTGCCTCGCAGGGTTTGTTGCGAAAGTTAATGTGTGTGTGTGTGGGAAAAGCTCTTTGACTTGGGCCTGGCACATGGTGAGTGCCCAGTAGTTGTTAGTCATTATTAAGTTAGGGAAATGGGCTCTGGCTCTTAAGTAATAATGGAAGGGTAGAGGTGGCTGCAAGTTTCCTGCTTCTTTCTTCCATAGTGAATAGCAACTATAATTTTACTTGCCAATTTGAAGTCTCCTTTCCTCGAGGGCTTGGAGTAGGGCCTTGCAGCCACAAGGTCCTTGTAGGTTCTTGGTGCTCCCTGCCAGCAGGAGAAGCTCATTGAGGCTTCTGTGGGCTGCCTCCTTTGTAGCCCCCTGCCTGGAATGCACCAGCCACCGACCTGGCAGAGACCCAGCAGCCAGCCCTGTCTGTGGAGAGCAGTGGATTGGCACGTGAGTTCAGTCCGGATTCCAAACAAGCGCCCTGGTCCTGGCAAAGCCTCAGGCCTGGGAATGGGACACCTGCTGAAGGGACTAGGAGTGGGGGGTCTCGTATCTTTGGGTGGGCTGGGATTCGTCTAGTGTCTTGGAGGAAGCGATGGGCATTCCTTTTATCTTTTGGAGGCCTTGGCGAGCTGAGGAAAGCCAGTGCCCCCTGCTCTTGCCCCATCACTTCCCTAAAGGGGAGGTCACAGGAAGCTTTGAGCCTTACACCTGATTCCCACCATTGCATCCACAGAGACGGAGCTTGGCCCCAACACAGACCTACTTAGTACCTCACCGAAAGCTTCACTGGGTCAGTATAACAGCTGGCAGGTGGGGGGTGACTGGGAGAGGTGGGCCTTAAGGTTCTTTCAGATCTGCTGCTGCCTGGTGGCGTGGACTAAGGCCACGGGAGGCTGAGTGCCTTAACTCTCTGGAGCAGGACTGCAGTTGGACTCGTGGCTGCCGCGTCAACTGCACGGGCTTTAGAGCCAGGCTCTTGGATTGGTGAACCTCGATGGGCTGGTGTGCAAGGCCTGGGTCTGCCTCTGGGTGTGGGGACTTCTAGCCAGAGTATGGGGAGGCCAGCATGCGACACTGGACACCTAACCCTGGGGTCTGAGGCAGGGTTGGCCTTCTGGTCCATCCCCTTGGGATGGGGAGGGGTGGGGGCAGCTCTGAGCTGCTCATAGCTGGGGGTGACATCGTTCTTTCCTAGCCAGTCCATGGCCTTTCAGCTCCTTTAGACTCTTTCCGTGGCATCCTCTGGTTCAGGGTGAACAGTCCATTTGCTGTCCTTGGTTAGTTCTGTTGATCCATGTGGGTCGGGGCAGGAAGCCAGCCGGATGACTGTCAGGCTGACCCTCTGGAACGGCTGGCACAGCTGGTCTGAGACAAGGCTCTGCAGAGGCCTCTGGGCTTGGAAGTTCCATGGAAGCACTGGGGTGGGCCCCTGGTTAGCCACAAGTCTGTTTCTCTCCAGAGTCCATGTATCTGTCACCTAAAGGGGCCCTTCCTGCCAGAGGTAACCAACAGCCCCTCGGGGAGCCTAGTCCCTTGCACGCCAGCTCCCTGCTTTAGGAACTGAGGCTGATGTTCGGCATCCGCCCCCTGCCTAGCTGTCTCCGTGTTGGTTCAGGGACTTTGTCTTTGCTGCTTCAGGTCAAGTTCTTGTCCCAGTCTGGTGGGGGTCAGTGCCCTCCCCTGATCTTGTCTTTGGCTTGGACTGTCCCGGCACCATTGGTTGAGCTGGTGGTGGCAGCTTTGTGTTCTCCTGCCTAAAGCTGTTCTCTTTAGAAGCTCTTGCCAGAAACTGCATGGTGTGAATGGACAGAACTGCCGCCTCTGACCGCCCTTTATCCTCACTCATGCCTCCCCTTTTCTCACACAGAAATGAAAACCTCCCTCATTGGCAAGAAGAAGCCAGCAGCAGCCAAGAAAGGGGTAGGTGGGAGAGGCAGTATGTAGAGGGTTGCAAGCCAGACCCCGGCTTTGCCTTGCGACCCCCTCATTCACTGGCTGTATAGCTGTGGCAGAGGCATTTGGCCTCTCAGAGCCTTCTGTTTGTAAGAGCTGCCAAGAAGCCCGTCTTCAGGGGACTCCGGGAGGGATCGGCCTGGGTTTTGCTGGGCCTTGCCGACACTGGCTGCAGTGGTCAGGCCCTGAGGCCTCAGCTGGGGCTATGTGAACCACCTGGTGCCCACCTCTAGCAAAGCTCCTGTTCTCCCTATGAACCATGTGACCGGCTGCATTTTTTTTACCCTGAGCTTCAAGAAGGAATGTATTCCTTTGGGTGTACAAGAGCAGTACCCATGCCTGGGAGGGAGTGGAGGACATTGTGGTTGGCCAGGCCCCCATCACGTGATTCTCCTCCCAGCTGGGTGCCAAGAAAGGTCTCGGGGCCCAGAAGGTGAGCAGCCAGAGTTTCAGCGAGATTGAGCGGCAGGCCCAGGTGGCGGAGAAGCTCCGTGAGCAGCAGGCAGCTGATGCCAAGAAGCAGGCAGAAGAGTCTGTGTGAGTGTTTGCCAAAGGGGCGCCGGCTCAAGTGGGGTGGGTGGGCAGATGGGCCAGGCTCGGTGCCAGCCTCTGATACATTTGTTCCTTCCCAGGGTTGCCTCCATGCGTCTGGCTTACCAGGAGCTCCAGATTGATCGTAAAAAGGAGGAGAAGAAGCTACAGAACCTGGAAGGGAAGAAGCGAGAGCAGGCAGAGAGGTTGGGCATGGGCTTGGTGTCCCGAAGGTGAGCTCAGCTCTGGGTTATGGTGGGAAATGCCATATTCCTCCAGGAGCCCCAGCAGGTTCTTCCCCAAACCTGAGGCAGGGGTTCTAAGCTTAGTCTTAGAGGCCAAGTAAATCACTGTACTTACTGTTTAAAGCACCTAGTGTGGTGCTTGGGACGTAGTAGGTATTTACCCTTACCCTGCCCACTAAGTGCCAGTAGTGCTGCCGGATACTGACAACACCCGGAAGTAACCCCAACATCCAAATGCTCTTTGGTTGGACAGTATACTTCCTGTTTCAGGACATTTTGTTGCTGTGGTTTTCTTAAAACAAGGACTGCAAACCAGTTCTTACACATTTTGCTTGCTTTACACTGAATTAGTGTCTAGAGATTTCAGCAGCACTAAATTTTTGATCTCTTAAAAATGGGAGAATCGGAAGGTGCTGAGGCCAGCAATCCTGGCTCCAGGCAGCTGGTGCTGAGTGGTGGCCACACCTTTCGAGGGGGGTGAGCTCCGCCCTTGGCCTTCTGGGCTCGAACAAAGCGCTCTGCAGAGGCATCTACAGAGGCATCATTTCCCCTCTCACAGATGAGGAAAACAGACTTAGCAATGACGCAGCTCGCTTGAAGCTCACAAATCTAGTAATTGGCATAAATAGGTTTTGAACCTACAACTGTTAGATTCTAAATTCTGCATGTTTGGCCTTGGTGCTGCACTCCTCTGAAGAAGGTAGGCCGGGGGTTTCTGCCTCATCCGCCTGCACACGCGCTGGTTGCATTTCACTCATGCCCTTTCAGTCTGTGCGTTGCTAGTATAACACCGCTGGGGGGGATGGGGATTTTAACCCCGACAGACAAGAACTTTAGGTCTCCACTCTCTTCGTTCTGGTCACAGGAATTACTGAGTTAAAGGGTAGGAACACTTTTATTTTTTTTTCCCATTTTTGTAGTGCAAGGGAATCTTTTATTTAAAGCCAGCCCACCCTATTTAAGGCCCTATTGCAACATTTTCACTCCTTGGGGTTCTGCCAGCTGAAGCTGTGGCTGTTTGTTTAATGCATTAATCTTACTGAGATGAACCCCTGCAATGCCCATGTGGAGCAGCACACAGGAGGCAAGCGTGGCCGTGAGCTGGGGCTGCCTGCCCACTTGGTGCCTCTTAGCCCTGGAACCAAGCCGCAGATCTGTGCTTCCTGCGTGGGGCCAGGCTCTACTTTGAAATGCTTTCCTCGTCACAAAAAGTAGATGGAATGATTAAAAGCCCACCCTTCGATGCCATTAGACTCCCTTCCCTGGTTTGGGGGCTCTTGTCTTCGCTCGCTCTGTGTGTGTGTTCGTGTGCCTGTCTTGGTGAAGGACATGGCTACGGCCCAGCAGGCGTGTTAGCCGTCACTTGGTGTGCGTCCTTCACCTCACAGCGGGCAGACGGCTGCTGGTCGGGGAATGCTCGCTCTGAGCAAGTGAAGCCAGCGTGTCGGCGGCTGAGTGTCCGTTCCCTGGGGCAGCCCTGCCCTGTGCCGCTGGTGGGAGCAGGCTCCGGGTGGTACTCGGGAGCCCTGGGCTCCTGCCAGCAGCAGGTACCCTCTCGGGTGGTGACACTGGTGTTCACCACGGCTCTCGTGCCTGTCTCCGCCTGTCCCCACAGCTCCATCTCCCACTCGGTGCTGTCTGAGATGCAGGTGATCGAGCAGGAAGCCCCAGCAAGTGCAAAACCTTCCCGCTCACAGCTGGACTTGTTTGACGATGTTGGTACTTTCGCCTCTGGACCCCCAAAGTAAGGCTGCTGTTGTTGGGGCGAAGACTTGGCCATCATGCTCCTTGTCAGGCTTCTCTGAGCCACTCTGCTGTCACTCTAGGTACAAGGACAACCCCTTCTCCTTGGGGGAGAGTTTTGGTTCCCGATGGGACACAGATGCCACCTGGGGTGTGGACAGGATGGAGGAGAAGGAGCCAGAAGTGACCATCTCGAGCATCCGGCCTGTTTCGGAAAGGTGGGGTGGCCTAGGGCAGTGCTGTTCAGTAGGACTTCCTGTGAGGGAAGAGCTGTGCGTCCACGCTGTCTGGTGTGGTAGCCACTGGGTGTGTGGCTGCTGAGCCCTTAGACTGTGGCTGGAGCAGCTGAGGATCCGCATTTTAAGTGCAACTTAAACAAACATAAATAGCCACAGGGACGCAGTGGCGCCCGGATCCGCCTGTGCAGGAGCTGGGCCTTGGTGCGAGCTGCGCTCAGCAGCCTCTCGTCCATGGCCCGTTTCTCTGGCAGGAGGGGTCTGATTTTATGCTTCCGCCTAGACCTCCCGGGGGTTATGTGTCTCTGGCCTCTGGCCTAATTTTTTTAAGCTTATTCCATGTCAGTCTGGGCAGTGTGTTTAATTGATAAATTATCTGCATGTCCATGTGTAAAGTGGGGGCATCAGTAATGACTTCACAGGGTCGCTGGGAGGGTGGAATGTGATGTAATGACACCTGAGAACACCCACCCCGTGCTGGGCCTGTGGGTGCTGGCAGGAGTGACCTCACCTGTCATCCACACTGGGATGCTTTTGAGAATGAAGGGGACACTGTGACTAAGTGCCCAGAGAGGAAGCATAAACTCAGGCAGACCGAGATGCATGGTTGCCCTAGTGTTGGGCCAATGGTAACGAGTAGAGTAGCTGTACTGACCTTCCAAGTGCTGTTTGGGGCCGAAGCCTGGGCCCCTCCAAACCTCATTTCCACGCTGCCTCGTGCAGGCAATGTAAGCTCTCTCTGCCTTGTCTTCAGTGTGGAGAAGGGAGGGGGCTCATCCAGGGGAGAGGGCCCCTGAGCCCCAGAACCGGTCAGGGCCTTGGTAAGCATCCCCAGGTTTGCCTGTGGTGGTAATGGGGTAGTAACATTGTCCCCAGACAGTGACGGGAAGGGTCAGATGTGTTGTTCCACCTCCACCCCAGAGTCACAAACCGGAGGGAGGTGGAGAGCCGGAGCTCGGGCCTCGAGTCCAGTGAAGCACGTCAGAAATTTGCAGGAGCTAAAGCCATCTCATCTGACATGTTCTTTGGGCGGGAGGTAGATACCGAGGTGAGTAGAGTTCTGTACTCTGAGGCTGGAGGCAGGGGGCAGAAGCAAGACCTTCCTCTCTGCAGCTAGTTTGGGCTTCAGCACTAGGTGGCTGGGCTCCATGAGTTCTAGGGATATCAGCCAAAAGACGATCAGGCCTTGCCTTTCCTTCACCACAGTATGAAGCCAGGTCTCGGCTACAGCAGCTCTCAGGCAGCAGTGCCATCAGCTCTTCAGACCTCTTTGGGGACACGGATGGAGCTCATGGAGCAGGTAGGCACCAAAGGTGTGGTGGGCACCAAGTGAGGCCAGTGAGCAGAGTCAGAGGGCCCAGTGGATGGGGCAGAGCACCCTGCAGGCTTCTGGGTCACCCCTTCCCTTGCTGTTACAGGTAGTGTTTCTCTGGGGAATGTGCTCCCCACGGCTGACATTGCCCAGTTTAAGCAGGGCGTCAAGTCCGTGGCCGGAAAGATGGCTGTGCTGGCCAATGGCGTGATGAATTCTTTGCAGGTAAGGCTGGGGCTGCTTGACCAGGGGTGGGAGGGGCCTACAGTAGTGCCTGGAGTGGGGCCTTCTTAACCTCCACATCCAGACACTGTACTGGGAGCCCCTCAGCCTGTGAGGGCCTTTGCTTTTCCTAGAAGGGCAGCTTCCTTTCTTCGAGCTCAGTAACAGGCTGGGCTTTTCCATGTGAAGACGTCCTGTCTGCACTGGTCTCCCCCAGCCTTGTCATCTGTGCTACTCTGTCCCCTCCTCGGCTTCCCTGAGATTAGGCAGGGCTTCCCCCTTGGGGTCTGGCTACAACCCCTTTCCCAAGGCACAACACAGTATCAGACAGTCCCTCCATGTGAGATTGGGCGCCCCTGCCCGCCCCTTCCCAGTCCTGCCCCAGTGTTGGTGGAAGGTGGCCCTGCTGGGCAGCGGCTGCGGGTCAGAGACACTGACTTTGTTTTTCCTTCCCCGTTTCCAGGATCGTTATGGTTCCTACTGATCCATGCTTCACGGCTCAGGCATGTGGTGGTGACAGCAGCAAAACCCCTGTGGTCACCAGGCCAGGGCTGCTTGCCTTGTGGAAGCTGGGGAGGAATTGTTACACGTGTGGTGTGTGACTGGGTGGCCTTTGAGGATCTCTGGTGAGGGGTGGGCAGCACCAGCCCTTCACCTCTGCCTGTAGATCAAGCCCTTTGTTCTCCTCCCTCACACCCTCCCCCCCGCCCCGTGTGCCAGATTATTGTCCTTCCACCCCTGCTCCCAGCGCTGCTCCTCGCTTGCCCTGCCACACTGGGAGTGAGGGGAGGGCACCTCCTCAGGATGGCGCAGTCTGGGTCCAGCCTTCCCCGAGCAGGGAAAGTGGAAAGTGTAAGGCTTTTTTGCCAGCTCTAGGATCCTTCCAGGTCGTTTGGAGGCTTGGCCCCCACCCTCTGGAACCAGCGGGGAGGTCTAGGAAGAGTTCTGTAGATCAGCCCCTAGAGGAGGGAGCTCTGGACTTGCTGCTGCTGTTGCTGCTCCAGTGGCCTCTTCTGGGCCCCAAGAGAGGGCAGGGGAGGGGAAGGACCTTCGTTTGGGCCTTACTAAGGGCTAGAAACTACCTGGTACCTGAAGGTTTCATTTGGGATCAGACTGGAGGCCCAAGTGATGATCTGCCCCCACCCCCCTTTTTCCAGTGGTCACCTGGAGGACTTTGTTTCCTCCTGGGTGTCTCGGAGTCCTTCCTCACCATCCATGTGGACCCTAGGACCCTCTCCCCCCTCCTGGGACCGCCCTTTCCCCCCGTTTGGTGGCCGTGGTGTCTCTGCCCTGTGGTGTCCTGCTGTGGATGCTGTGAACGTAATGCTGGCCAAGGAAGCAGAGGACACGAGGGACAGAAGCAGGCTTCCTGGCTTAGGGGGCCTGGCAGCACCCCACCAGTGAGCTTGATGTGCCTACGGAACTGGAGCTGCAAGCCTTGCCTCGGCCACTGGGCCGCGCACTGTGTCGTCCTTGGTGCCACCTTCCCCTGCCACCTGGCAGTCTGGGCCTGCCCCAGCCCCTGTGGGTGAGAGTTGGCCTCCCGAGCAACACAGACCACTATTCCCACCACTCCCTCCCCCCAGAGGGACTTGACTTTTCTTTCTGGACTGTTTGTATTGAAACACAATGGTGTCAAATAAAGCCCTGACAGGGCCCTAGGTCCCTGTTGGTCTGAATGAAGTAATGTCCTCTGGATGCTACCTCCCAGCCCCTGGGCAGGCCCCCCGCCTCACTGTCTGGGCTCCCACCGATAGGGATGGGGCGTTGGTGCCGAAGCTGAGGGCACTTTCTCCAGCGCCTCCAGCTTGTCTCTTCTCTGAAAGCCAAAGTCCCCTGGCTCCTTGGCCCTGTGCTGCCTTGAGGTCCGGTGCAGCCTCGACCTCACCACCCTGTTGCACGCGGAGGAAAGAGCTGGTGTCAGTTGGCCCTTTAACGCAGCCACTTAGTCATGTGACTGGGCAGGCAGACAGCCTCAGCAGCCCTGCACCTTACCCTAACAGTAGGCTTGACGGGCAGTGTTGGTACAATACACAGACCTTACGGAACTCTTTTAAATCTGGGAAGAAGGGGGTGAGGGTGGGGTGTGTGTGCCCCTAGCTTTTGGAACATCCATCACTGGAGGGGGTGTTGGGGTACAGTTGTAAACCATCAACCTGAAAGTATGGACGGAGCCATAGGAACTCAACTAAGCCAGTGATTTCCAAAGCATGGATCTGGAACTTCCAGCTTGGGAATGGTGTGTGTTCACAATCTAGATTCTCTTCCCAGCTGGAGTTTGGTAGTTTGCACTGTAAATAGACTCCCCAGGTGATCCTGATGCACACCAGGGTTTTCCAACTGCTTTTAATCAGGTTGGTTGGAGGCTGGATCTGTTTGTGGGCCTGGAGACCTCTCCTGTTCCTGGACTCTGGCAGGTCTGGGACATCCAGGCCTGGTCTGGCACAACAGGGCTGTGCGGGCCAGTGTTGTAACTCCAGGGGCCTGGGCTGGGCAGGGATAAGCCCAGGAAAATGTGTGACCAGTGGCCGTAACCTTCGGCTTTGCTTCAGAGGAGGTGGCCTGCTCTGCTTGGGTCACTGGTTGGGTTTTACTTTCTGGGGGCCCGTGCTCAATTCAAGGATGTTGAAAACCACTTGTCCTGCCCTTCCTCCAGTCTTGGCTGGAGGCTGGTCTTCTTCAGACCTGTGTTCACAGCTGTGTCCCCACTGCCCTAACCCTGAGCAGGTGTGTGGCAAATGTTTAATGAAACTGGCTGGAAGGTTCTGCAGTGCTGAGCCTTGGTGGCCAGAGTCGTTAAAGTTACAGGAGCCTGGCCTTGAACCCTCTGAACTTGTTTTCCCCCGAAGGCCCATCCCAGCGGGGAGTCTCTCTCCTTTGAAAGGCTGTCACATGCAAGAGGTAAGTTCCTCTGCTCATCTGAGGCAGGTCTCTGGGCTGAGTGGCCCTCTGGCCCCCGTCCCCCGGAAAAGGGAACTCACCCCTTCTCTTCACCCCCTCCTCAGTATAGTGGGTGTAGACTCACCACTTAGCAGACGAAAGGGACTTTATTTGTTTCACATTTAACTTATAGACACAGGAAGCTTTTGAAAGGGAAATGGTCTTGCCTGGCCTTCACCCCACTGTGGCCAGTGGCTGCTTCTCCAGTACAAGGCCACTGTGACTATGTTCCCCCTACTTGCATCGAGGGTGTCACCTTCTGAGCATGCGTGGCCCTGAGTGGCTATTCCTGGAGTTGCTGTGAGATGAACCTTATGTGGTGACTGTCAGCAAAAGGCGACACCAAGTCCCTTCCCAGTGGCCTCAGTTCAAAGTGCTGTCAGCCTGAGCCTGACTAAAGCGCAAGGCTGACAGGGACAGGGAGACTAGGCTAACTTTCTTGGTCACTGCTTGGGTTGCCTGATAGCAGAACCCCTCCGACACGTCTTGGACCAGGGCTGTTATTTGGCCTTTCCACCAGCAGAGGGCAGCACCACACGGGCAGAAGAGTTGGAAGGAGCAGGGTACAGGGTGTGGTAGATGGGACCCTCTGAGTTCTCAAGTCTCAGACTCGTCAGTCTCTTCAGTGGAGCCATCACTCTCTGCATCCACTTTGCGGGTGTGGTGGAGGGTTCTCCAGGAAAAGCCAGCCCGGTGAGGGGTCCGGGAAGGCAGGCAGCTGGCCTCTGAACTGGCAGTGACTGAGTTGACCAGGTCTGGGATCTGGGCCAGCCTGAAGGAGGAGAGAAGCCCAGAGGGCAGCAAGCTGCCTCCCGTCCAGAGACCAGGACCTCCACACTCACTCCTGCATCTGAATTAGACCATGGACTATGTTCCCAAGGGACTCAAAGAGAGGACACCTCAGGCCTCTGCTGGCCCCTAAACCCTTCCCTGACCCATGGGGATGTTATGGACAAGCAGTGTGTGAGCCCATGATGGGGCCCTGCCAGGTCTGACTGAGGTCTTCCCCCACCAGGGGGCAGCACCTTCCCACATGACACTTACAGTCGCTCCAGCTCCTCATCCATGGCTGGGTCATGCATCAGGTCCCCTTTGTCAGGCAGAGCTCCTAGGAGGTAATTGGGGGCACGAAACTTAATCCGGGGTCCTTCAGCCAGTCTCTGGTCAGACAGCCCCATTCCCCGCAGATGCCTCTGTGCCCCTTACCGTCATATCTGCCTATTTGGGCTGATACAAAGGATACGGGGAACAGCTTTCTAGAGAAATTTAAAAGGAATTCTATCAGGGCAGAGTCTTGGGTACTGCTGGATGAATGTAATGTTTATAACATTTAATAGCCCTGCTGCCTGCTTCATCCCCACCCCCAACTTGGGGCAGAGACCACAGCTAAGGAGACATCCCAAACCTCAAGGTCGCTCAGATGGCGATCACCTTCCAAGATGAGATGGTGGGCTGTGAGCTGGTGTAGGGCGGGGTTGTCCTTCCTTGAGGCCCCCCAGTACGGGGCTGAAGAGGAGCCAGAGATACAGGATGTGGCCCAGGCTAACCACAAAGACCTCCAGGGAGGGTCCGGGGTGAGGAGAGGAGACTGGTCAGGAGCAGACCAAACTCTCTTTGGCACGGCTGAAGCCACCAGAAGGAGAGCTGTCCCAACTCTGCTGTCACACATCTGTCTCCTGTGGCTTCCTCAGCTGTGAACTAAGGGAATCAGCTCTTTGATGCCGAGGGAAGGGACGGGGGAGAGTCTGGACGCTCTGGGGGGCCCTTGACGGTGGGAGGGAGGGCAGAGCTGAAGTCTGCTGACAGAAAGACTCTCACCAACCAACTGTTCTGGGGGAAGAGCTGGCTGGTGGTCAGAACCTAGGTCTGGGGACCAACAAGGCTGGTCTCTAGAGGGCCTCAGTCTTCAAACGATCCACCGGGCACTAGTTCAATTCCTGACTTTTCCAAGCCCTTCTCCAATGGTGCCTCCCGGTTCCTTTTGCTCTAAGTCAGTGGTTTTCAAACTATGTGTCATGGAACCCTCTCATTTCGTGGTCGCCTTGACGACTAACGGAGCAGGCTGGCAACTGGCTTTAGCCAGGGGCCTCCAGGTCTGTTTTACACACGTAGCCGCAGGTGAGGGTGGAGACCAAACGCTGCTTTCGGGCCCCCACTCTGCCCAGCACTGGTGCTCAAGAAAGTGGCTGACTCAGTGACTGTCCCTTTAAAGGCCCTAGAAATAGTGAGGGCGTGTGGTCAGTCCAGGTGGTGACTCAGATGCCAGTTAGCTTTTCCTTTTCCTGCTTAGCGACTGTGACTGGTGGAAAGTAAGGGAGGGTGGTCAGTTACCTAGGAGTGTAGAAGAAAACCCAAGCAAATTTCCACCTGCCACTCCCTTGCTCTTGACTTCTGACTCCTACTTGTCTCCTTTCTGTTCTCTTCCAGCCAGTGACCTCGGCTGCCAGCCTCTCTTGGTCCCCAGACCTGTGCACGCCCCAAGCAGGACTCAGAATAACGGCTGCCTGGCGGCATCAGGGCCGCCTGGGCCCTCAGTCAGTCCAGCTGGGGGGGGGTGTGCCTGTGTGCCCCAGAGCACCCCAGCAGGCTCCATACTGCATCAGACCTAAAGCATCTAGGCTGGCACTGGCCTCTTGTGGCTGGTCTCTAATGCATGTTAAAGTTCCTTCCTTTGACCCCATTCCCTCAACTGGCCAAAGGAAGGGGAACATGGGCGTCTCTTCTTTGAGACTCCGGAACCTGAGATTCCCAGCCACCTGGATACCTCGAGGAGGGAGAGAGATAAGAAGCCTTCAAGCTCTCCTGGATGGTGACCTGCGGCTCCTCCCCAGGAGAGCAGCGGGTGTGGGAGGCGGCTTGGGGAGTGGTGAGTGGGGATGGCCGACCAGTGGGAATGAAACGGTGGACAGAAAAAACTGGGCCAATGCAGGCCTCCCCCCACGCCCTTTCTGATCCTTTTCAGATTAATCAGATTTTTTTCCCAGTTGGGAAAAAGGCCTCCCCAGACACACCTTTGTCCTGTTTACAAATGGATCCAGGGCTGTTTGATACGTAATCTCCAGAGCCCCTGAGTAAATAGCCCTGTGCAGGCCAGGCCACGCCCCCAGACAGAACTGGGGGTTCTGAGGGAGGGCCTGGGCACGCCCCTGCCTTGGGGCTTCGTGTTGGGGCAGGGCCGTGGGCAGGGAAGGCTGTCCCTCCCTAGGGGGGCACGAGAGGCCTAAGGGAGCACAGTCTTGTGTTCCGCACATTCTGGCCTCCTGGGCCTCAGAGACCGGACCCAAGAGCTCACGGCAGAGATGGCGGTGCCTCTTCCTCATGGGACCATTCTGCCAACAGAGGCGGCTCCCATAGGTCTCCGTACCGTGTGGCGGGAGGAGGCTGGCTGCACCTAGTGCTGGCTTACCTAGGGCTTGGTTGGTTCCATGGTGCTTTGAGAGAGCCACAAGGAATCCGTAGAAGGTCAGTCTCTGAACATTGCCTAGGACCTCTCTGACGACAGCTGGGGGTGGGCAGCTAGGAGAGAGCACAGGCTAGGTTCAGAGATGTGCGCACCTGAGTGTTACCCTTCCATCCACACCTTCCGGCCTGAAGGATGCTGAGACAAAGGGACCAGACTCTCCCGGGGTCCACAGGCTGGCAGGTTCAGGAGCAAGGCCTTGACTGTGAACATGAAGGGCTGGCAGGTTCACCACCTGGTGCTTTTACTAGGAGGGATTGGGGAGGGGATGGGGAAATGGCAA